CATATTTGTCCATACCTCAAAAAAATTTTTTTTTGCCCGCCCTAAAAAAAGAAGCTGGATCCGCCCCTGCTCTCGCCTTCGCCGGACCACCACCTGACGTCGTTGTTTTGCCGGACCACCACTTGAGGCCCTCACCTCCACCGGACCACCACTTGAGGCCCTCACCTCCGCCAGACCACCACTTGAGACCTGGAATTTTGCCAGACCACCACCTGAGACACGAACTTCCGCAGGACCACCGCTTGATGTCGTTGTTCTGCCGGACCACCACTTGAGGCCCTCACCTCCACCTGATCATCACTTGAGACCTAGACTTCTGCCAGACCGCCACCTGATGCCCGAACTTCCGCCGGACCACCGCTTGAGGCCCTGTGCTGCACCGGGCCGCCACCTAAGGCCCAAATTCTACCGGACCACCACTTGCGGCCCGAACTTTTATCGGGCCACCACCTGATGCCTAGAGTTCTGCCAGAGTACCGCCCTACTACAACGGTCTTTATGTCCCCGATCTCTGGTCAACTACGGTCTTTCAAACCCTTGTCTCCTTTCGACTATGGTCCTTCCGACCTCCGTCACATACTATGGACCTTTCGACCAACATCGCCAGACAACGATCTTTCTAACCTCGATCTCCTGCATGCTACGGTCCTTTCGACATCCATCACCAGATAACGGTCTTTCCGACCTCTATCCTATCAACTATGGTCGTGCCGACTAAACAGACATGTCTATATTGTAACTCCCACCATATAATGTGCTATATATGATCTATATTTGTACAATCAAGCCAAGGCCTTCTCCCAAGGAAGGTCCGCATTTGTAATCCACTGCAAATACTAGTGGATTCATTTAAACTGGGTCAGACCTCGTGATTTTTTTCCCCTTTTCAGGGGTTTCCACGTAAAAATTATGGTGTCTTTTATGAATGCAACACCCTCTCTCTCTTACCTGATTGTGTGCTGGATCTTTGTACAACGTTAAGATGTTAAACTATATATTTCTCTACCGCCGCGAATACTCCAGGACGCAACAATCATATAGTAATTTCATGAGTTAGATTTGCATGTACATTCAAGAAGGGAATGTAATATTTCTTACAACAATATTCTAAGCTGATATGATTAGTCATGAAAGATTGAATTTTCCATTTTCTATTTTGTATGTTTTGTATATTTTTGAATGCATTTATTTTGTGGTAAAGCGTGTCTGATCAAGGGTTCGTCCTACCATGATCTCTTTGACCTTCTTTGCTCATTGACTATGATCCTAGGACTATCATCACCCATTGATGACTGTCATTGAACCATCATTGTCTGACTATGATCCTCTGACAACTGTCGTCCAACTACGATTCTCTAATCACTGGCACCAAACTATTGTTCCTATGACTATTGTGCAGTATCCATTGTTGCAGAATCCACTTAGTTGACTTAATATGGTATTAATTCTATTTTATTATGTTTTTTTTATCAATTTTAAGTAATATAATACCTACTTAACTCTAAATAAGTTAAAATTTAAAATGGAAAAAGAGAAAACCATGGGAGGCCAAATGATTCTAGGAGCATCGTAGTGACACACCCACCCACCTTGTTGGAGAAGGAAGAAGAGAGAGAGAGAGAGAAAAGAGAGAAAAAAGAGGGTAGAGATTTAGAGGTTGCAGAGCTAAATTCATCCATTAGGCTAGTTAAGGATTTTGTCGAGCACAAGGTAAACTTCTAAACACCCATCTATGCTTTCAATTCCAATATGTATAACACAAGATATAAAAAATCTATATATTTTCTTCAATTTTATGATGTTTTCATAGTGTAACTTTTTATATATTATAGCATGATTTATTTTGAACACTTGATTGTATAAAGTTAAAATTTTACAGGTTAGTTCTTATGTATTAGTTTTTGTACATGTTAAATGAATGAAATATTTATAATATTCATGATAGTTCTCTAAAAGTCTCAAAATGTTGTTCTAAATGTTCCTTTGAAGTTATAATTAGAAAGATAAATGGCAAGTACATTGGTTTTTACACATACAATGTTACCTGATTTTAGTAGTTCATATGTCATCATATTCATATTTAATATCATAATTATATGTTTAAATACTCACATCCATGATTCATGGCATAATATTAGAGAAGCTGTGATATCTAAAATGATACAAGTGCACTTTTTAAAAATGCTACAAGGGCTCTATAAGTTCTTATTTGACCCATCTGTTTGGCATGGATGTAGGAGGTTTTATGCTTTGCTTTGACTCAACTTGCTTTATGTGGGTGTTGCAGATTTAAACAGTCATAAGTGAAAGTGGAGTTTTAACATACACTTAGACATATGCATAATATATCCATGTATTGCTTATTTTGATAATTCAAATAAATTAGAGTATAAAAAATATTTTGATATCAAGTATATTCTCACATTTTGATACCCTGTGAAGTTTATCAATAAAAGTGCAAGTGATAACTTCGATAAGAAGCATATTATGATAGTCTTATGAAAGTAATTATGTGAAAAGTGCAAATGTAAATGTTATGTGCAAAGTCAAGTAATAATTTATGAATTGATGTTTTCTGAAACACAAAATGGGTTAATTTTTATATAAGTTATTTTTTGTTAACACTTAGTTTAGACTCTGATGTTTTAGCTTAATTTTTTAATAATTTTTCTATTTATAGTAAAATGAGTATTGATATTTGTAGCAAATATGTGAAAAAAATTTTACTGAGCTTGTTGTGCTCACTTTGTGAAATTTCTCTAATATATATAGATAAGGGATAGATCCAACATAGTAGAGTTGATAAGGTCAAGATTCTAAAAATTAGGATTTTGAGGTATTTTGTAATCTAATTGTTTATTTTATTATGTATGGATTTTGTATGAACTAGATTATTATATATAACTTTTGAGAAATGATATTTGAATAATATTTTATACTATTAATATTAGTTTGGATTATTTAGTTGACTATGGTTTACTCGGCATTATGATTGAGAAAAGTTGTCAAGGAATTTAATTATTTCATTAGATCCTGGAGCATCACACATCATTATATGACTATGATCCTTTAAACCATTGTTGGTGATCATTTACTATAGTCCTCCAACCTTCATCATCCCGACTATGATTCTATGACCACTATCACTTGACTATAGTCTTTTTGACCTATGTCATCTGAATATGATCCTCAAACCATCGTAACTTGAATACTGTTCTTCGATTATCGTCGCCCGATTATGGTCATTCGACCATTGTCTCCCAATTATGGTCCTTTTGACCTCTATTATCCACTGACTATAATCCTTTGACTCTCGCTACCCGACGACTATGATCCTTTAAACACCATTACCCTAAATGATCCCCAGCCCATCATTTCATGACTACGATCCTTTTGATCTCCATTGCCTGTCAATTATGATTCTCAAACCATCGTCGCCTGACTGTGATCCCTTCCACCTCTATCATTTGTTGATTATGGCCCTCCAACCTACAACCTTTTAGTTGTTATCACCTAGCTACTCCAATGTATATAGACTTCATTATCCACCATCGCCAATAATGTCAATACACATAATCACTTATAACTGATGCACGCCATCAACTTCAACTATGACCTTCACCTTCAACACTTAGATTTATGTTGGATTCGCGCCAATGGGCTCTCCCAACATTAACAATGTAATATGTACTTTATCAATATTTTCCCTTGCATAGGGGTTTCCCTTGCAATAAAATACAAATACTAGTGGAATCAATTTAAATACGTTAGACTCTATTGCTCCCCCTTTTGGCGTTTTATATGTAAGAACTATGATGTCTCATAGAGCTATCGATCATACACCAATCTCTTTAATTATGTGTGTGTTAGATCTTCATGTAAAACTACAATAATATACTCCATACATCTCAACCACTGTAAATGTTCCGGCATATAAGAATAATCAAATCAGGCTACTACTTGAGAAGAATCTAACATGCTTAAGATCATTCGATTCTAACATTAATATGTCACTCAAATGCTATATAGACGATTCATAACTCATGAGTTAAAAATAGACATGCAATTGTGTGTTTTGGATTCTAACTAGATTTATCAAAATAACATTCAAAATACTATAAGTGGAACATCATTTTCTAATTTAATCGGGTTTATGAGTTGTGAGAGTTAAATAACTCTCGTGTTTTCCAATGATCAATATCGACAACCACTAGAAACAAACACAGTCACCATTGACTAGCTTCTATCATTCTACTACTGTCACCTAACTATAAACATTCAACATCATTATTAGATTTGTAATTATTTGCACATGGACACCCAACTTTTATAATCTTTATAAGGGGAATCAACAAAACATACATTATACCGTATAATTTTTTTAGCACACAATAATAATAATAATAATAATAATAATAATAATAATAATAATTTATCTTGAACAACTAGAATCAACAAAACTAGGTTAAACTAGACTCAACAACCTTTGGTCTTAGCACATTAATGATGAGAAAATTAATATTTTTGTTTAATTTAAATTATATTCAAAATATTTATTATAATTACATTTCTTTACCTAAGTTGTTTTCTAATAATAATCTTTCTCTATCATAAATCTTTTTGTTGATGTGGTTATGCATTTATTTGAGTGCTCCATTAATTATTATTGTCTTTTGCACTGAAGAATTCCTCAACACTTCCATTTGCCATTCTATCAACTAATGCATTTAAATTTTCAAATCACCCTCAGTCAGGGCTGAAGGGTAATAATTCTTGCCCCTCAACTTCTGCAAAATATACAAAATTCCGATTTGAAAGCGGGAGTGCTGTAAGTACTATTTATGGTGGGCGCTTTGGCCACCGGCCCACGTTTGGTTTCTTTCGATAATAGCGTTGTTGTTAGGGGTAATTTCGTCAAGCGTTAAAATGGCTTACAGTGGCATTATTGTAAATTTGTATATATGCAGTGGCATATGTGTTTCTCAGACAATACTTAATGTGCTTCGTGCTTTCCGACTTTCCACACTCTCTTTCCTCTCTTTTTCTTCGGTCTCAGTAATTCTGTCGGGAGAGGGACTTCGGCACCGAGCCGTTAGGGTTTCTCTGGCTTGATCTGGTAAGCTTGCATTGCCCGATTTTTAAGATTTTTAGTGATATCGATCTCTGTTTTCTGTTTTCTGTTTTTTTTTTAATAATTTTTTGAGCTTTAATTAACTGTTTGAATTCAGTTTATTTATGGTTTCTCTATTTCATTTTCTTAGATTTGTTGGATTAAGTTCCCTTCTGTTGCGAATAGGGCAATGCGTGTCAGATCTTGTAGATTTAAATAGGGATTTTGAAGTTTTTTATGCTCTTTCTAGCTAACAGTTGCATCATGGATCTTACACTCGGGTAGGATTTTCTTTTTGTGGAATTGCGCTTTGAAGGTTTCAAATCGCTTTACTTCTTGGTTTGGATTTGTTTGTTGGGGAAAATGATGCTTTGTTTTACTTTATTTTTTTTCATCCTTTGCGATCTGTTGATTCAATGTGGCGTGAATGAGGGTGGTTTGGATTTGGTATTGGAGTTTGTTTCAGTGAGTGCCTTTAAATTCTGATTGGTAAATTTTCGTTTTATATGCTCATATGCTCTAGACTCCATAAAAACAGTTTATTGGTGTGATGTATGTGTTGAAATTAAGGGATTTGGATCCTCTCCAATCACCATGGTAAATGCACCAGTTACCTAGCCTATGCATCCAATCCATTTTGTATGCGGGATTAACTTTTTTGAAACCTTAGTGGTTTGAAACAGCTGGTTCTTCTCCCATTTAATTGGAGAGGTTTAAAGTCCTAGAATTCGGTGATTTTATATATTGAGAATTTCAAAACTTTTTAGATTAGATGCTGTTTTATTTTAGGCAAAATGGACTTACTGCCCTTGATGAAAAAGATTTTAGAGCTTCATATATCAAATTGGCATGCATTTGTTTTACGTATTGTGCGATTGGTTTTTGCTTAGTTTGTAATAAACTGGAATTTGATGGATTACACAGTTTTTTTTTTCCTTCTGATGACGGATTCCATAGTGTTGCTCTCTCTGGATTTATGCACTTTACGTTTTCTTTGAAGTATACACCAGTCGATTCATATTGAAGCTATGATGGGAAGCTAAGATGAAGCATGAGTTTTGACATTAATTTAAAATCTTAGAGCACCAACGCATTTGGATTAGGAGTTTCAATTTATTTTGAGAGTCATTTCGAACAAATTATTCTTGAGAAAATATGATTTGATGAGTCGAACCAAATACAAAAGGAATACTTGTATTCGAGTCTCTAACAGCTTAAATTAATCACTTATAACCATAATTGTAAAAGTCATTTGAGCAGCAAAAAATCCACTTAATTTTGTGTCTTTGTAGTTGAAATAAGTGCCTTGACTATATGAACGAGCTCAATTGTGAATGCAATAAAGGATCAGGATATCAAAAAGATAATAAAATGATCAAGCAGGATTTTTCTAGCATTTAATGGAGTGCATGAGATTTTTTTTTGAAATCTCCGTAATGCCTCCAAAAATTTTAGTAGGCTCTATTTTTATGCAGTTAGGTGGGTTTTTTGAACCAAGAGAATTCTGCTATTCAAAGGGGATTCCTAAGCTCTGCCAATTATTTTCTGTTGATCTGCATGATTGCTCAATGATAGGTGCCCTCGATGCCATCCAATGACCAACTAAACACCAGTTGTTGATCGACATTGATATTTGCCATGCTTGTCGTTGGTCATTGTACTTGACGCCTGTCTTCCTTATTGATCATTCACTGTTGCTTAATTTTTTATTTCTCTTTGATCTTAGTGCTATGCTTGCCAATATTTTTTTATTTGATGCTTGATAATGATTGATGTTTGTCACTTGTCTTTTTGGTTGTTGGTCATGTATCCTATCAGGAGAACAACCATATTGATCACTCATTGTCTCCCGTCTTTTAATGTTATGTTGGTCATCACTTGATACCCACCAATGACCGACATTTTATGTTTATGAGCTATCGAAGCTCGATGTTTGATGCTTATCTTTCAATTTCCTAGTTTTATGTACAATTAGGGGAGAAACTAAGCTGCAACCCACGGTTGCTTGAGTTATGTTGTTCCTAGTTAATCTTCGCCTGACGCTTGCTAATGAACGATATCGGTTGGCCACAAACATTCGTTGTTAGTTTCCATGTTGCCTAATCTCCCATTCTATTAGAAGAATAACCAAGCTAACTGCCCACTATTTATTGATTTTTGACATTCCCCATCAATCATCATCCAAGCTATCATGTGAATGAAAAAGTTGATCACCCATTGTTGCTCACTTTCGATGTGCCCCACACCCTAGTTTTGACGTTTCTGTTGATTATCTTCAAATGACCACCAATGGCTAACAACTAGTAGTCACTAATGTTAAACTCCAACCTTATTAATTGCTTGATCTCTCCTCCTATTAGGAGAACGATCAAATTCGTTGTTTGTTATCACCTGACTTTTTATTTTACTTACTGACGTTTGCTAAATATCTACAAACAATTTACACTTTTTGGTCGTTATGCAATGACATTGATGCTTATCTTATCAATCACTTGGTCTCCTTTTATATCAAAGGAGCAATCAAGTTTACTACCCACCATTGTTTGACTCCTAATTTTTAGTTGTCTTGCGATCGATTAACAATGAACATTTGTTATCCATCGACATATGATGCTCATATTCCCTATTGCTTGCCTTCCCTCCTATCAGAAACATGAAAATGTTGATTGGCCATTGTTGCCCTTTTTCAATGTATCTTGTCCAGTAATGTGTCTAATGCTTTCAATGTACCAATCTCTCACCATCCTTTTGCTTTTGATGTTGCTTGCCAATTGTTGGTCGACGCTCATCAATGACTGACATCTGATGTCTATTAGTCATTAATACTTGACACCCATCTTACTTGTAACAGTCCAAACTCTTAATTATCGAGATATTGTCCGCTTTGACATAAGGGCCTCACGGTTTTCCTTGTTGGTGTAACTTCCGAGTAGGTTACCCATCCGAGAATTGCTCTGGGATGAGCACGATTAACTGCGGAGTTTCTTACGGAAATTTCAGTCATTACACCAAAAGGCGCCTCGATGTTTAAGAGTTAGGTTTTTTATTACCTAAGGGATTTCACAATCTCCCACACTTAAGTAACTAACGTCCTCGTTAGCATCTGTATCTCAGAATCATCCACCATGCAGATAGGACTCTAGAGGTGGCCCCTACAAGCTCAAACGGTGGCTCTCGTCATGTAGCACTTTGTCCCACATTGGGTTCAAGAGGTGGCTCCCATGGCGTAGCACTTTGCCTTGTATGGCACTTAGCTCCCATCTTTCGGTTGGTGTATTGCTCTGATACCATTTGTAACAGCCAAAACTCTTAACTATCGAGATATTGTCCGCTTTGGCATAAGGGCCTCACGATTTTGCCATGTTGGTGTAACTTCCCAGTAGGTCACCCATCCCAGAATTGCTCTGGGATGAGCACACTTAACTGCGGAATTTCTTACGAAAATTTCATCCATCACACAAAAAGGCGCCTCGATGTTTAAGTGTTAGGCTTTCTATTACTTAAGGGGTTTCACATTACTAGCCTCTTTATCTACTATCCTACCTGAAATATGACCAAGCTAATTAGTCACCATCATTCAATTTTTTTATGTTCCCTATCGAATGTTGATCAATGCATTTCAACAATTGATATCTATATCTATCAATAATAAATTGAAATTCTCATCTTCCTCGTCACCCGACCCATCACTCAAATTATGAGACCTAAAGAATCATCTTACTATTATCAACAGTAGGGGTAAATGAGCCGAGCTTGAGCGAGCTCAGCCGTTGTTCGGCTTGGCTTGTTAGGGAAATGAGCCAATTTTTTGTTTGCGTTTGACTTGTTAACTTAACGAACTAAGAACAAGTTGTCGAGAAACATAAAATCTACTTGAAATTCATATATAAATAATATAACATACACGACATGTTTGGGTTCATATATCCATACAAATATAAATGTAAGCATATGACTATACACAATCTTATTTGTGTATTATTTGTATGTATGTATAAACATAATCAAGTTATTATTTTTGAACAAGGTTTTGTTTCTATTTGACTTGCTAATTACATGAGCTTACAAAAACTAGTTGAACTTGAGCTAATTATCCGTCTGAATATGATCAAATGTGAAAAAAGGATCTTTTTATAGCTCTAATCATAGGAGATGTTTTTCACAGTTTATGTATATTAAATTGTATTAACACTTTATCTAGTTATGAGGATGGGTACTATCTGTAATCTTCGACTCACACTAGTTAAATTATTTTTATTGGAAGTCCATATACGAGTTTTGACATTCCAGAAGCATGGATGATAATTAATATTTTTTTTCCTTTTGAAATCTTTTCTATCCAAAGTTTAATGCTTTGGTAATTCTTTTCCCATTACGTTGAATTCGAATTAAACATAAAGCTAGTTGATCATTCTTTGTCAATATGATTATATGAATCTACAATCTGACGGTCATTTTTTTCTTGAAAAGTAATTTGCAGAGGGCATTCTAAGAGGAGCTTTCTGAGCTTATTTTCTTTAAATCCACGAACAACTATGGAGGAAAAAATAGCTGAAAATGCTGTTCTGGAATATGCTACTTTTCATGTATCTTGGTCAACTAACAGGTAACTCTAATTCTTAAATCTTTCTAGTTGTATGACAAATACTTATGAAACAATTGCACATTCTTTTAATTACCTATTTGTTGATCTTTCACATGCACTTGCCATTGCTCCTTCTGTTCTAAGTAGCTTGATTATGCTTATTTGACTTTTTTTTTTTTGGTTTACTTCAATTGCAGTTATGAAGCATTTATTTGTAGCAATGATATTGTAGAGAAGTTAGATAGTGGTCCTCTAGATCAGCTGGCTATACATTTACCGGAAGCAAGAGCATCACAGTCCAACCCATCAGATAGCAGTTTCAAGCTGCAGCTTGATGCAAGCACTGAAGCCTCATCATGGTTCACCAAGTTTACACTAGCAAGGTGTATTTATCAAGTAGATTTCTTTCTTTTCTTTAGTCTTTTCTTGAATATTTGTTATTTAAGCAGCTATCTTTTCAGATTTTTGCATGTTGTCAATGTACCCAATGTGCTAAAGCTCGCCAATTCAATTGAGAATGAAATTTGTCAGTTGGAGGAAACCAGGAGGTTTCACATTTCTCTATATGCAAAGGTAGAATTCTGGTTTGTTTTTTACACCGCTGTTTTTTAAAATGCTTTCCATCCTTACCTGTTCTAAATTTTGCATTTGAATTAGCAGGACAATTCAAATCATTTTGGAGGTGGGGCCACAGGTATCTTAAAAAGGCCTCTTTGGATTGAGTAGACTTCTTTGAAGTGTTGTCACATAAACTTGTATTAATAAACTAATTTTTAGCCGCTTACTCTAATTCAAGCTTTTTTTATTTTAGGGAGATTTGATACATATCACCATATACTATTCTATTTACATATTTAACACCTAAAATTTTATATCAAATATGAGTGGTAGAAATGAAATATATGAATGATAGGAAGGAAATATGAGTGGTATATTTGATATTAAAATAATATAGGGTGGTATGTATGTAATATTAAAATTTTGAGTGTTCGATATATAAATAGGATGGTATAATGTGGTATGTATGTAAATTTCCCTTTATTTTATTTTGAATGATAAAGCTTTTAAGCTCTCCATTGCAAATACCATCCTATCTTTTTTGTTTCATGCATGGTACAGATCATTTACTTCAAATATTGATAATTAAAAGTCTCTAATTCAAATCTCATATCCTCCCTTTTTCTGGCAGAACTAAGATAGTAATATTTAATATTGAATGGAACTTTGTCAAGTCAATGCTTGCAACTTAAGCTTTATTGTGTGAAGACGTTTTCTCCTCAAAATGGTTGCAATGATCTGCATTTTACTTTATTTGAATTATATTTTAATCTTTCCATTCCTTGGATTAAAATTTTTACCTTACTAATATGATATTTTTTTTCACTGCTAGTGTGCTTTTAATTCTTGTAACTCTTTTCTTGGATTTAACGTGAAGCTTTCGGTACTTCAACCTCGAAACTTAATTCCTTCGATTATTTTCAAAATGTTGTACTTTTTCAGACGTCTTTTTAAATTGGTTTTATTAACCTGCCACCATTGTTGTTCCGTTTCTTCAAATGAAAATACTCTCTTTTTTTTCCCAGAAGAGTCATTATAATTTATTCTCTATGGAATGAAAAGCTTCCTTGTTTTATATTTTGTTTCATCTTTTTATGCATTTATTTTTATGACATCTTAGATGGGATCACATAACAAATCTTTGTTTAACTTTACAGAAGTGAGCTACTTAAATGATGCTGGTCTAACACAGCAAGTAAATGCTTTTCCTTTGATTCTTCCTTTTGGTTCCCTTTGGCTTTTGATTTTTTTGAACTCTAAGTAAGCTATATTCTGCAGATCAAAGTTGAAACGGCTTCATCAGATGCTACAAAGTATGTATATTTTGTCAAACTTAAAATATAATTTTGATACATCTTACATAGCTCTTCTGCTAAAATACCAAAACCTTGAGGTCTAAGGAATGAATTGCTGCGGGCTATGGACTTGAGACTCGCCGCCTTGAAGGAAGAGCTAGTTGCTTCTTTCAATCGTGCTGCCGGTGCTACATGCAGCACCAACCAAATTTCTGATTTAGCATCATTTGCTCGGCACTTTGGAGCTGCGGAATTAAGGTAACTTTTTAATGTAAGCAATGACATCAACATTATATTGAGTGCTGCTCGATATCTTTAACATTATTTTATGCAATATGATTTTTGATCTCTTGTTTCTCCATCCTAATCCTTTCACCTTAGTTCTCTTTGATATTTATGGGTGCATCTTCTAACTTCTATGTCTAAATTGCCTAAATATATTTTCACCAATATTATCTTCAAAAGACCACCACCATCTCTTTAATATAATCTTTGCTCAATCTTTTTTTTTATTATTTTTAAATTTAATTTAATTTTATTTATTTTTGCTCAATCTATTCTTATATCTTTACCACATATCTAAGCTAGTATGTCTTTTTTCTATTATATTTACTGTGGTATGAGTAATTTTTTTATTATACAACACTCGGTTCATTTAGTACAATTAGTCTAGTTATAATTTTGTAATATTATTCATGTCATAAAACTATTATCTTAGTAGTCTTTAGAGAATATCATTTGCATGTAAAAAATTGTTTATTTTTCATGATCTTGAAAATTAACCCTCTGTTATGGATATGTATTTATTGAATGCTGACCATGTAATTATTCAAGCACTTCATTTTGCTTTCCGCCTTGGTCTTTCGTGGCTTTTGTGATTAAAGTGGTTACCTTTGACTGATTCACTGTATGGCCATTCCTTGATTACATTTTTTATTTTCTCCCATGTGAACTTGGAAACTGAAGGCTAAGTTTTATTTATGTTAATTTTTGTTCAGCAATTTATTATTTGAGTTTCTGGAGCTATGCCCAAATAACCTGCACTTCGACACTACAATGAAGCACCAGACATCCTTGAACGAATCGGAAAATATCAACTATGCAGCAAAAGGAAAGTTTTCCCTCAGTGCAAATTATGATGTTGTTAATCCTGTAGCAGCCTATGTTTCTTCTGCTAAAGTAGCCCAAGCTGAGCGACATAACTCATCAGAGAGTGAGGATTCCTCAAATTCAAGTGATATAGATAGCCCCAATGGGGTAAGAAGTCGGCCAATTGTAAGATCTGCAACACCTAGAAGATCTGCTTCACCAATGCGACGGATTCAGGTAGGTAGATCTAGTTCTCGTAGGTCTACTGCAATTGCCATTAAGAGCCTCAATTACTTTCCAGACAGAGAAAAGACAATATCAAATAGAGATGTTGATCCAACCGAGAGTGGGGATGATGAAATGGAACATCTACCAAAGAAGCCTGAAAATAATGTCACTAGAATGAGTGTTCAAGATGCTATCAGCCTTTTTGAGCGCAAACAAAAGGATGAAAATGTAGATATTCAAAATAGGAAAACTTCAGAGGTATCTATTAGTGCCAACAAATCTGTCTTGAGAAGATGGAGTGCGGGAATGAGTGGTTCCTTTAAGTATTCTACACAGGAAAAGACATCAGATTCTTGTCATCAGATTGCTTGTAGTAACTTGGACCATGAAGCAGGGGAGAAAAAAGAAGATGAGGTGGAGGACAAGCCTTCATATCCAGAAAATGTTCAAGTTGTTATGTCTGAAGAGATCATTGTGGCAGAACCATTGCAAGGTGATGCTCCTACTGAACCTGTTGTTACTTCTAATGTTGTGGAGGGTAAAGATTTCACATCGACTGAATGGAATCAGCAGCACGAGGCAGAGTTGAATGACATGCTTATCAAAATGAAGGAGAGTAGCAATGCTAGTAAATACCTTGGTACCAAAGTTGGTAATGATGGTTTGTCAGATGCATCTACAGATCAAAGGGGTGGCTTTTACAGCCAATATAAAGAGAAAAGGGATGAGAAACTTCGAGCTGAGAATGCTAGAAACCATGCAGCAAAACAAGCACATATTAAAGTGATGCATGAGACACTGGAACAGAGCAAAGCAGCAATGGCATCCAAATCCATTAAGGCTGTGGTGAAGCCAGAATCTGCAAACATCTCTCAAAGACCAAGGAGAAATTCTTCTCCACCTGTTTTGTTGAAGAAGGAACTTTCAAAGCCAACCAGTTCAAAAAATGTCTCGCCTAAATCATCTTCTCCAAAGACTGGGAGCGCTTTGCAGTCAGGACCTCCGAAGAGGAAGGGTGGAACACCGCCAGCTAAAAGCTCTTCTGCGGTTTCTTCTAGTAGCATTTCAAGCCGCCAAAGACCTCAACCCTCAAATTCTCCACGTCAGCCAACCCCGAAGTCTGAGAAACCACTGGGGCGCGTGAAAGGAAATAAGAGTAATGGTAGTGTAGAAACCCATGTTAAGCCAATTTTTAGAGGACAAGAAGATAAACAACTGAAAGCAGTTGCAAAGAACAAAGCTGTGAAACCAAGAAGTCCATTATCTGGGGAAGATTGCGGTGAATTATCTAAACCATCTGTTCCCAACAAGCATACTAAGAAGAGTAGTGTAGTGCCAGTGGAATCTAAACCCTTCTTGAGAAAAAATTCTGGAATCAGTCCTGGTTTTGGACTTTCAGTTGCTAAAGCAAAGGATAGTAGAGTTGAAAAGTCGGGTGATTCTTCAAAGAACAGTGGAAATCTTGTACAAACAGAAGAAAATGAGCCTAATGCAACGCTAGCTGTACCAACTACTAAGGTAATAGAGGATGATCTTGTTCAACCAATAACTGTGGTAGATGAAACTTTAGTAGCTCCACTAGATAATGATATGTATATTGAAACGGAGAATGTAGATGGGAGTCTAACAGGAACCGACAATGACATCCAGAACTCGGTGGATCCACTTATTGCTGGAATCCAACGTGATGAGGATTTAGGCATCTCATCAGTTGCATGGGTGGAAACAGATCACCAGGAATATTCTCCATCTTCGAACAATGGGCTACATGAAATTTCTTCCATGATTGTTCCAGCGGTGTCATCAAGTTCTCGTGTACGCCATTCGTTGTCACAAATGCTGCAGGCTGAGAATGGTGAACCAGAAATAATTGAGTGGGGAAATGCCGAGAATCCTCCTTCCTTAGTGTATCAAAAGGATGCCCCAAAGGGGTTGAAAAGACTCTTAAAGTTTGCACGAAAGAGCAAAGGCGAGGGGAATTCAACAGGCTGGTCTAGTCCTTCAGTCTTCTCTGAAGGAGAGGAAGAACATGAAGAATCTAAAGCAGCTAATAAGACTTCAGAAGCTCTGCTGCGGAGAGCTTCCCTTCAAGCTAAGGGCTATGAGCAGCCAATTAGCATTGCCAGTGAAAATTTAGATGTTGGGAATTATAGCAAAAGAGCCATTGACTACAGGATAGTCCATGACATTTCATCAGGTATGGCTTATTTCATTATTAAAACGTAAGTTTCCCTGGACATTTTTGAGGCTGTTAAAATTGCCTCTTAAAAAATAATAGGTCTTCGAAATTTTAACATACGGTCCTTGTCGCTGATACTAAACAGGCTATGTTATTTGGTAACTGTTATGAAATATAAAAATTATAATAACGTGTCACCGTGTCCGTGTTTGTGCATCATAGGGTTAGTTATGTTGTATGGATCTATATATTGGGTATCAAAAAGTATATAAATAGCCTAAAGTTGAGTTTAACCTAATTGAGAATATTAAGATGTCTATGAAAAAATTAGAAAAAATGGAATGATTCTATTAGAAGGATAGTTAAAGCAACATCTATTGTTGATACGATAATTGAGAATATGGTTGCTCATTGGACATAAAATAGAAATAAAATGTTTCCCATAAGAAAAGAAGATAATGTTTATGTCGGAGGCTTCGCAAAAAAGTAGATGAACCAAAGTTAAAATTGATATAAGCTATTCAATAAAATTGTTCGTTCTTAGTAAAAGGAAAGTGTAGTTTGGGTTGACATATACGATTGAAGAACTACTTAAGGGATCAATGTGATCGTGGATGTGTGAAGTCGACCTCACAAGTGATTCAGCATACAAAATAACAAGATAAGGGTTAGCTAGCTCTGCCTCATTTACTAGTTTCATGAGTAATATCATCATCTTTGTGGGAAAGATCATGTTTGATGAAAATCTTCGTGTTTATTGTTGTTAGAAGCAAGTAACGCTTCAACCAATGAATTAAGCAAAACTTATTATTATTCATATGCCTCCATAAAATTCAATTGAAAATTTCCGAAATTAAATTCAGAATCATTTGAACTTCGATTTGAACAAATTTATATTCGAATTGAATATCTTGATGAGATAAACCTATCAACACCATAAATAATCCAATATGAGTTCAAGTGAATTGAAATCAAGCACCTAGGGCATATTTGGAAACTTCAAATATTAATTGAAGGATCAAATACTCTCCAAATCTTATATTCTTGTGTACTTATAATCAAATCGATTGGCTTGATGAGATGATACTACAAGTTTAAGATCATTTGATTCTGACATCAATAAGGTACTTAAATGCTAAATAAATGATTTATGATCAAGGGTATTAATATAGACTATTCGATGAGATTTTGGTCAAGTTTATTAAAATGCCTCTCTAAAAAGTTATAAATAGTCTCTCACTTTCTACTTGAAGGAAGATTTGAGAGCCGAGAGAGCTAAATGGTTATATTGCATTTTTTGGTGATAATAGCCGATGACTCTATCGGCAATTGTTAGCACAATTGACAAGCTTATATGATCTGGTTATTATTGCTTGATTATTTACTTATAACACTGTTGTTTAGCTGTAATTATTTATGGGTGCTTGATTTTTATAATTTCTACAATAAGAATTAGATAATTGTTCTCATATATATATAATCCCATCTTCTTCAAAGAATCAATGATATTGTATCTTTTATTATTTTGCTGATTATTGCAACGGAGCTATGCTTCAAGATTTTTTCCTTATTTGGATTTTTTATATAAACAATTATGTTATCTTGCAACTTTTAACTATATGTGCTGAATTTTTATCCAATGCTAATTTATTAAGCAAACTGCCACTAGAAATTTTTTAGCAAGCATTAGTTTGGCGATATCTATAATAAATATTTCCAATATATAACAAATGCTTTATGATTGGTCAGAAAGTAGCCCCTCAGTCAAGGACAATATAAATAGGTGGTGAAGACTATCTAGGTCTCACTTACAAAGATTGTATACTTATAATGGAAGAACTTCATGTTCAAATCCTATATAAGTCTCAGAAGACATTGGACAATGAGTACAATCACAACATGATAGAGTTATCTCACCCTAAGATCAATAATAATTTGGGGTTAATTTATTTGATGTCAATCAAACATTACTTCTTGATGCCGCAATTCCCCCTTCACCATAGCCTCACCAAGTTCTCTCTAACACTATTCAATTCACCACATCCTTTCCATGTTGTTTTACCAGCTTGTAATCCTCCTTCAGTCATGGAGGACTTATATTAACATCATCTTATTAACACCCTCATGATGCTATAAGAGATGAGCTAAGACGTCTTGTTCAAGACAAATTCTTTTTGAGGGAAAGAAATCAATTTATCCCTTGTCACAACTTTCTAGAGTATTCATCTCTAACTGATGCAATTTTTTAACTTAATATTCAAGTGGGGTTTAAGTTGCGTGCACTTGATTTATATGATGAAACTTCTAATCGTTATGTGCACATTGGTCACTATAGAACTATAATGCCCATTTTGTCGATTTTGTTTGATTTTTTCATCAAACAATTTATTGTCAATTGAGATTTTTTCATCAATGAATTCTCCCATCTTTTTGGGATTTGCCAAAATGGGGACTCTAAAGGAATATTATAAAAGTTTATCTTTTGAAGCACACCAAATCTTGCGAGTGGATATAAAGTTATTATGAGGTATTTTTCATGGAGGTCGTAGTATTAGGGGTGTCAATTTGATTCAACGGGTCGGGTTCGGGTCGAACCCAACTTGACCTGGCCTTAAACGGGTCGTAACTGGTTTTGCAAACGGGTCAGGATAGTCAACCTGGACTCGACCTGCGCGGGTTATCGTGTTGACCCGACACGACTAGCGAGGGAGGGATGGCGACAGTCTTCGGCTCGATGGCTCTCAGGCGGGACAACGACATCTCAGGCGTGTTCGGGATTGCGGCAGAAATCCGGCGTCAGGTATGCCGACAGCGGCATTTCATGCGGGTTCATGCTGGCGGCATCTCATGCTGGTTTGGGACGGTAGCAAGTCGGCATCGGCAGCTTAAGAAAGACAGCAGCAGGACCCTGAGGCCTGGGTGACACGACACGACCCTAATGCCTGAGCGACGCGATCCTGAGCGGTTGAGCAACACGATCGAGTCACGTAGGATTACAAACTGGTCGACCCGCATGTTTCCGAGTCAACCAGAACTCGACCCATCCGTTTTTCAAACCGGTCGGAAATTCGAACCCGGACCAGACTCGCTTCACAAACGGGTTGACCCAAATCTAGATTTTTTCGGGTCATGTCAATTTTTGGCACCCCTACATAGCATAGACATTTGTACTCATTAATGTGAGAGATCATTCACTTCTATAATGATCTCATTCAACGACTAGGAACTTAAATAACTGTTAACATTGCCATCAATGCACATAAAAATATTTTGAACATTCCTTGAGTTGACGTAAAAATTCACCATAAGAAATTGATGAACCTTTTCAATAAAAAAAAAGCATGAGCAATCAAAGATGCCCTTCACACCAAAGTCAGTCTGAATCATCCGATTACAATTCATTAAATATATCTAAGACTAATATTTTAATGGAGTTCTAATATTTTGAACACATTAAGTGATTAAAACCTCTAAAAATACTAATGTCAGTCTCAATATTGCCTCTTACACTGTACGAGAGGGCATTCAACATAAAATATTTTCAATTGAAGAAAGAAATTGAATGTTTGATACTTTGATTTTCTAGGGACTTCTAGGTCATTAATCATGAGAACAACGTATTTTTTGTCAACCTTAAAATGGAGGAGTTTATAAGAGTTATGATAAAGAAATTATTGGAGTGTCATCATAATTTATTTGCTCTTATACTCTTGAAGAGTAATTCAAAAAAGTCGAGCTACTCATCTCATCAGGTCAGATGTATCTTGAGATATAGATTTATTTTCAAGTTTTTATTTAAAATATTAATTAAGCCTTCTTTTGAATTTTTATAAATAATATTATATCTAGCAAAACCCTTGGATTGCATGCTTATGAGGTAGCTTGGATGAGAAGTTAGTAGTGGACATGATCCTTACTAAAAGGATCCTATGAGGGCAAGTGGCAGATAGAGTTTTCACTCACAATCCCGAGAAGGCATGCCCTTGAGGTAGCCTCAACAGGAAGATAATAGTTAATAGAGTCCTCACTAGAAAAACTTAATGAGAGTAAGTGGTTGGTAGGATTTCCACTTATCTAAAAATCAAGGTTTAAAATTGCGTAATTAAGCCTCGAGGCGGTTTTCGTCCGTGAGGCGAGGCGTAAGCCTCACGGACACAGAATTGCGTAAATGAAAAATCAAGGGTTTTAGCAGGAAAATAATAGCAATATTGTACCTTACAATAAAAACATCTAAATAATATATGAAAATAGTGGAAAATAAGAAAGTAGATGCAATAAAATCATTTCCCAAAGTACAAAATCACAAAATATTAGTTTAACAAAACTACCAAAGTAAAAAAAACATATAAAATGCAATCATATCCCATCACTAAATGGGTCTTCTTCAAGTGAATCTTCTTCTCCAATTGTATCTATGAATGCCATGTCATCATCATCTTCAACATGACTCACTTTTCTCTTCCCTGTTCAATAAGAGAAA